AAAAAAAATGAAAAAACTAAAATTCAAAACAATGAGTTGTGTTCTAGAAAAAAAAAAAAACCTAATTTTGAGATATGAAAATCAAATTTGAAAAAGTAAAAATGATATGCATTTGATACTAGGGTTTGTCAAATCTCCAAAACCGTAATGTTATGAAAAAGTACTCGTAAAATCTTACCTAGTATTTTCCAAAAATTTAAAATCATATTTTGGATTAATAGGAATTAACGAAAATTTTCATTTGTTCTCTCTCGTTAAAAAATAAAAATAAAAGTAAAAATAAAAATCATTTGTTTATTTTATGTCCTTTCGGCAATAAAATCCTTTCCCCTCCTTCGAGTCCGGGTCGCTCCTCCGCTGGCACCTTCGCTGCGTGGACTGAGAACTGACTGAAATTGATAATCTGCGGCGGTGACCGTCCTGACTCACCGGATTCCAAAGATGGATCGTCTCGGACTCAGATCTACCTTCGTCGTCTTCTTTCTCTTACTCGTAAGTTCGCCCTCGCTTGTCTTAATTAGTAATCTTCAAGTTTAACTTCGTTCCGATGCAGCTTTCTTTTCAATTCCATCCTTCGTCATTCCATGTCAAGTGATTCTTGAATTCTTCAGTTCTTAAATCACTATTTGTTTCTTGATATTGATCCTTTGATTACTGGTTTCAATGGCGATCTTTATCTCAGTTCCTAGCGACAGGTTCACTCGGAGCTCGTAAGACACGAAACTCATCGGTGTTTTCTTTGTTTAACCTTAAAGAGAAGAGCAGGTTTTGGAGTGAGGCTGTTATACGTGCTGGTATGCAATTTTATGATCCCTGTTTCTATTGCTCAGGGTTCTTTTCAATACCTAGCAAGGATTGGCCCTTTTCTACCTCCAGTTTTATGATTATATCTTGGGATGTTCAGATTTTGAAGATTTGAAATCTTCGAGCCCGGGTAAAGCAAGTGCTCTCAACTACACCAAGGCAGGTAAGTTAAGTTATTGTTTGATATTGCCTTTCAGAAAACTTGTTTATTAACCAGCATTTTGATTTCATGATAGGATTAGTGGACCTGTATATTTTATTTTTACATTTCAGGAAAATTCTGTAAGTTATCTAAAGCTCTTCAGTTTATTTTATTTTGTAGGAAATATTGCAAGTTACCTAAGCCTTATGGGAGTAGACTCTATGTACATTCCAGTACCTGTCAACTTTATTTTTATCGGATTTGAAGGGAAAGGGAACCAAGGTATGTGGCTTCGTTTTTTAGTTTCTTTATTATTATTATTTTTTATTTGCTTGGTTTTTTCCTTTGAAATGGTTCAAATTTGGTTATATTTATTAATGAATTTTGTTTTTCATTTCAAATTTAGATTTCAAGCTTCATCCAGAAGAACTTGAGCGTTGGTTCACGAAAATGGACCACATCTTTGAACACACACGTGTTCCTCTGATTGGGGAAGTTCTCACCCCATTTTATAAAATTAGCATAGATAAAATGCAACATCACCACCTTCCCGTTGTTAGTCACATCAATTACAAGTAACTACTCTTAGCTTTATATTTTATTATTATTTTTTCTTTAGTTATACAAGTGATGACATTATATAAAGTCATACTGAATAGAAAGTGTTTCAAAATAGTTTGTCACTTGAGATTATAATCATTGTTGTTGTCATGACGAATTTCTGGTGCAGTTTTTCTGTTCATGCCATACAGATGAATGAAAAGGTCACTTCAATCTTTGAGCATGCCATCAATGTCTTCTCCCGCAAGGATAATGTATCCGGTGACAGGTATGAAACATATTTTAACCTAAATCCTTTAATAATTAGTAATTTGTGTTTACTAAAATTTGTTGTCCTTTCAACTATGCATACATATACAAACTTCTATGCACTGCTAACTAGTGACTAAAGGTTGGTCTGACATGCTTAATGATTCTTGCAAGGCTTTCTTGCTAGATAAGTTTGTATACAATGAGGACCCATCTGTGTAATGTCTGTACTTATTCCATTTAGATCTTGCTTTGCTATTGTCATCTACGTTATATTGTGTATTCAAGTTCATGACCCTGTTGGTCTTTATTGACATTTTCTTTTGAGATTTTGATGCTCCAAATTACATGACCTGACCTGATGATATTTTCTAAATCAAAGTGTCATTCGGTGTTGAGGTCATGTTCTTGTACAAAAAATTTCATATGATGGATTGTTAAGTTTTCTAATTATATGCTTCTCAAATGTCAATGCTACGTGCTTTATTTATTTGAACTCCATCTCTCTAGCTGTGTACAATTACATTTTTAGCTTGTTGCTTGCAGGGATGATGCAGATTCTCTTTGGCAAGTAGATATGGACATGATGGATGTTATTGTCACTAGCCTCGTTGAATATCTTCAGCTTGAAGATGCATATAATATCTTTATCTTGAACCCAAAGCGTGATACAAAAAGAATGAAGTATGGATACCGGTGTGTATATTAGTAAAACTTTTCATTTTATTTTTATTTTTATTTCAAATACAATTGAATGTGAAGATGGAATTATGAATCACTTTCAAAACCATACCATCAACCACCTCCCTACCATTCCCACCACTGCACCTCATGTTTCATTGTGATTGCAATTAGTTTTCTGCACTCCCATACAAGTCAATGTTGGGTCCGCATTTTTGTTGGACATTTCAATGGGATATTTAATAGAGTTTGACTTAAGAGTCTAAGATTGTAATTTGAGGACTCCATCTACCCTAGAACTATTGATCAGCCCCTTTGTTTCTTAGACTCAACATTTGGGGGTAAGAACCCATGTTGAAGGACCTATGTATTGAAGGATAAGGGATTTGTGTCAGGTGGGACTGATATAGCTTAGAAGTTTGGGCCAAATCAACGCCCCAACTATAGCTTCTTCACTTTTTATTACCTTATTACCTGTTTAGGTTTCCATTTAAATAAACAAACAAAATCACCACTAATTGTGTCATTAACCATGGAGAAACTAAAGGGAGAGGAAAGGGATGGTGAATTTATGCCAATCTAAGCCACCATTTTGTCTGTTGCATGATGTCTTTCTGGTGTTGACATTGTCCTTAAGCTGAATCCAACTATTATGTTTCTCTGGTTGTAGGATACCCTTCCTTCCCTCTGTTATTTAGCAGTTGCACTTGAGGATGCTTCTAGGAAAATTGATTATTATTTCATGCTTGTTTTCTTCTCATTCAATCAGTCTTTTGTTGTCCATTTTCTCAAACACTTGAAATGATATTTGGCAGGAGAGGTTTATCCGAGTCAGAAATAACTTTTCTGAAAGAGGTACCTTTAGTTTCTTTCTTGCCATTGTCTTTCTAGTCTATATTTATTGTCCATTATAACTTGTCAGGATTCTGGTCAAAAGTTATCTTCTTACCGTTTAATACTTGTTCCCCCCCTCCCCACCTTCTTTTTAAACTTTTAGCTGAGTATTTGTTCATGTCCAAGACTATGAATAATAAATTTGGTATTTTTAAATCTGAAAAACTGGCTCTAATTCAAATTCTAATTGAACAGGATAAAAGTTTACAAAATAAAAAAATTCAGTCAGGGAACCCTCCGGAAAATATTCTTGGTATGAAGTGACTCTGGTTCTGACTTCAATTGTACTTTAATGATTTGGGGATTTGTCGCTAATAGCTGCATAAATTTTCAGCTCTTAATAAGATTCGGAAGCCTTTGTATGGAAAGCATCCAATGGCAAAGTTTGCATGGACGACAACTGAAGACACTGATACGGTTTTATTTATTTATTTATTTTATTTTATTTTTTAATGTCATTTGTTTGCCCAAGTAATAAGGTACTCTAATTTAGCTTCTTGTAAAAATTTGAAATTAGAATTTGATGAATATGTCAATTTTCGGAAGAAACTATGTCCTATAACATTAGACATTGGAGATTCATGTTTGAAAAGAGACTTTTGAATCCAGTTTTTTTTGGACTTTGCTGAGCTCTACATAGGGCGGTTGCATCAAGGATTATTATTTTATTATTACTTTTGGGAATTCAGTTGAATATACTGTACGATGGATAAAGAACTCAGTCAGATAAAAGGTTTTTTTTTTTTCTTTAAAAAAAAATGCAGAGTAAGTGATGGAGATTAAAAAAAGTTAGGCTTTATGAGAAAAACTTATTTTTTAGAAGTTCATCACATGGGACCATTATCATCATATTGGGAGTGATAACCCCCTGATCACTTGCAACATTAGTTATTTCAGTTCTAACTGCCACTCATCTGTGTCAACTATCATGCGTCCCATGTGATCACTTTTTGTCTCATTTTCATGTTGAATATTTTACTGACCCTTGTGAGATAAGTTGAGTTTCAAGATTGTAATTGATTCGACTTCCATGATTGGTTTCTTCTGGATGTCCAAGTATAAAGCTGACACACATATCTTGAACACTAATAGAGTTAAGAGAATTTTTAATGATGAAGAGCCTGGGAAACTTCAAATTCCTGTTCTTTTGGTTAGGAGTAAGCTAGTGCGTATCCTGCCATTTTACTGTTAGTAGTGTTAGTAATAGCAAACATTAAAGTACATTTTGCAATGTAAGTCTCTCTCTGTTTTTGAGCTGTAATTGTTCTTATTTTCTTTTGTTTTTCTTGGCTTTGGTGTTTGATAACACGTAGGTAGAGTGGTATAATGTTTGCTTGGATGCACTGAACAATGTTGAGAAGTTGAACCAAGGAAAGGAAATTGCTCAAATCATTCAGACCAAAGTTTTACAGGTATATGATCTTCTTTTGTCATGTTTAGTGAGATGCTTGAAGAAACCATCTTAAACTTTGACAACTTTCCTTGCCTTTTCCTTTTGCATCTTATTTCCCTTTTTCTTTTCAAATATCAAGTTGCTTAATGGAAAGAATGAAGATATGAAGCTTCTCCTGGAAAAGGAGCTAAAATCTGAGGACTTTAGTGATCACCATGTAGAATGTCTCACAGATACATGGATTGGGGGGAACAGGTATAAATCTCTCTATCCCAGCCACACTATGGTTATGTGTTCACACACACACACACCAGCATTCTTATTTGTGGCGAGCATTGTGTTAATAATAATGATGAATTCTGTATCAGGTGGGCTTTTATTGATTTGACCGCTGGTCCTTTTACATGGGGACCCGCTGTTGGTGGTGAAGGGGTGCGCACGGAACTAAGTTTACCAAATGTGGAAAAGACCATTGGTGCAGTAGAAGGTTTTTCTATTTTCTCTTTCTCTGGGTGTTTCATTTGGTTACTTGATTTCTTTTGCTTCCAATATTTGCACCATTCACTTGGCTGCTAGACATGATTTTCTTGTACATATGATGCAAATGCAGATCTTATTAACTGGTTGTCAGTAAATTTACACATGCTTTTTGGCACCTCAGATCTTTGTTATTCAGGGTTTTGCAATGCTATGGCTGTTTTATGTTTTTAATTTCTACTTCCATTTTCTGCTTAAATTTTGCTCCACCATACTGCAGAAGCTTGGTGAACCCTTTCTGCATTTTGTTTCTATTCATGTCTACATCATGGACCTCTCTTAACTTTCATAAAACAATTATTACTAGTAGATGTTTAGATCTCCACCATAAAGTTATGATTACACATTAATATCTAGTGTCTCATATTTTATTTTTTTTCCTTCATGGCAACCAGAAATTTCAGAAGATGAAGCTGAAGATCGCTTGCAAGAAGCAATTCAAGAAAAGTTTGCTGTGTTTGGTGATGTATGTCTAATGTAGATGTTTCCAGAGATGACTACACACATAATCACTGATCAGAACTATATAAACATATGCATATGAAGTGATAGTGACATGTGAACTTTAGGGGGCTTTCACTCTTTCTGTAAATGGATTTTATTTATTGTTCTTAGATTGTCGCTGTCAGGTACTTGTTGGCAAGTTTGCTTAATTGAGCACTGGAGTAAGCTTTTCATTTATCATTGAAATGGTTGGTTTTGGATTTTGAGAGCTATGGTAGCAATTTAGTGTAGTTTGATGATTGTATAATGCATTATTTTGGCTTTCATTGAAATGCAAATGTAATCCAACATAAGAATGTCGCCACCAAGGCTTCCTTAAACACCCACAAGAAAGTGTCTATGCTTCTAACTTTCACAAAATTTAAACTGAAAATAAACTAACTTCATTTTGAAATTGCTGTACAGTTCATGCTTCTGCCTCTTTTTATTGAATTATAAGGCTACCATGCTTCTATTTTAATTGATTATTCATTTAAATATTCCAGAAAGATCATCAGGCAATAGATATTCTTCTAGCGGAGATTGACATCTATGAGCTTTTTGCTTTCAAACACTGCAAGGGAAGGAAAGTCAAACTTGCACTTTGTGAAGGTAATCTTGTTATTTCTGCCTCAGATAGTTGTTTCTATCTGCTGTTTCTGGTGGGTTTTATTTCCAATTCATTCTCCCTGAGTTTTGAAACAAATTTGCACTTATCCCCCCAACAGCTCCAGTTTGGGGTGTAAACTTATGTTTTATTTTGAAAACAAGGAAAGAAAGCGAATTTTGCACCACACATTATGTTAAATTTATTAAGTTCGCCCAATATTTATATCTATGAAAGTATAATCATGTCTATATTATTTATAGCTCTATGTTTTTATTTATTCATTTATTTTTTGAATTTTTGAAGTGATTCTTCCCCATTATTACAGATTTTATTTTCTTTTGTCCTTTTCTATTTTGTTTTGAGTCCAACACTGTTTGAATTGTTTGATAATGTCCTTCAGGACATCAATATATTTTACATAAAGTTAAGATGCAACATGATTGGTTTTCTATGTGAAGAGTCTTGTTAATTTGTTTGACTTCCCTTGATATATGATTTCAGAGCTTGATGAGAGAATGCGGGATTTGAAAAATGAACTCCAGTCTTTTGAAGGTGAAGAAAATGAAGAAATCCATAGGAATAAAGCTAAAGAGGCACTAAAACGAATGGAAAACTGGAATTTGTTCAGTGATACTTATGAGGTATATGCATCTCTTTGATGAGTTCTTTAACCATTATCTGTAGGAGTTAGAACTTGCATGCCTCACATGACACTGTCTATACTATGATTCAAACAATGTTATATCTTTGAATTAGAAAATTGGAATTCTTCATCACTGAGTTGCTTCCGTGCAGGATTTCCAAAATTATACAGTTGCCCGTGACACTTTTCTAGCTCATCTTGGTGCAACATTGTGGGGATCTATGAGACACATAATATCTCCTTCAGTTTCTGATGGTGCATTCCATTATTATGAGAAGATATCCTATCAGCTATTTTTCATCACGCAAGAGGTATGTTGTACAGCGAATCCTTCCTTGGATCGGAAACATGAAATACTTTGTTGACTTAACTAAATTTTACCCACGCAGAAATTAAGACATGACAAATTGCCAGTAGATCTGAAGGCTCTCATGGAAGGGCTTTCCTCATTGAAGCAACCTTTGCAAACAGTTATGTTCAGTCAACACAGGTATGCATCCTGAACAGCCCCCCACCCCGCCTCCTTTTTTTGTTTTGAACAATCAGGCTATATGTATACATTTTAATGGTAAATGTAATATGTGGTTCCTTTTATGTTTACAACATGCGGAAGTTTGCTGCAAAAAGCATGTGCTATGTGATTAGTTTTCCTCATGAAATTAATTTTGATTGAACCATGAAAGAAATTTAGTTTTTAATTTTAAGAATGCCTTTGGGTCTCAAAAAATATTTTATTTTTGATATCATGGATATCTGAACCTTTGGGCCAACTAGTTCCATGGGTATTTCCAAACTGCCCCAGATACTAGGCAAATCTCCACGGATGGTGGAAGGCACGACCCGTTGGAATTGTTTGCATCAAATGGTAGTGTGGGGTTTGAACCTTGCATTAATGATTGTTTTAAGGAGATTTGGAGCAGAACATGTCAATTTTTTTTAATTAGCAAAGAAATTGGTCATGTCATAACTTTAAGAATAAAATAATATATACAACACTAGGTGTTTATAAAACAACATGGTTGATAAAACTGGGAGAGACATATACAAAATTTTGAGACCATGGGTTTTACCTCTCTTTGTATGTATATCTGATGTTGCCCAAGTTATTATTATTTCTTTGGATAGTCACCTTGAGGCTTTTTGGAATGGATCCCTATATATTATATGTTAGAAATGTTTAGCCCTTGGAGGGGGGTGGGTGGGGGTGGGGGGCTGAGTGTCTATTGTAATTTTTTCCCTTTTCCTGACAACAACATTTTTGGCTGGTTTTCCTACCAGTCACTAGTTCATACTTCATAGGCTTTTACCTTTAGTTGGTCAGCTGTTGTATTAATGTGATAAAAATTCCAGGTTATCACTTTCGGAGGATCCTGCTTTGGCAATGGCCTTTTCTGTGGCACGGCGAGCAGCAGCTGTTCCTCTATTGCTTGTTAATGGAACGTATAGAAAAACTGTCCGTTCTTATCTTGATTCCTCAATTCTCCAGCATCAGTTACAGAGGCTGAATGATCATGGCTCTCTTAAAGGTTGTCTACTGCCTTTTAGTTTCTCAGTTTTCTCTATCTTCTATCTTAGTTCATCACAAATAAATGCTCATTTGTTTCAATATACTATTCAGAGGATTTAATTGTTCCATATTTTGGAATTGATAGAGCTTGGTTAAATGATTCTTATTTCTTTTATGTTGTATTACCAATCTTTAAAGATGTTTTCTTGCATTCAATAGATTAGATTGTCCATCAACTCGTAAAATTCTATCAATGTGTGGTCCTTTTAGAAAAAAAAAAAGAAAAAGGAAAGGAAAAGAAAAAGGAATGTGGTACCTTCTTTCAGTAGATACTGAACATGTAGATATATAGGTTTTTGCCTTTGCTGGTCTGCAGGTCTTCTCTTTCTCTTTCATCCTTGTAAATGACTCTATTACAAGATCCTTTTTGTATTCTATCTTTTGGATTTAATAGTGGACTTATTTTTTAAATACCGCAGGATCACATGCTGATAGTCGGTCCACACTTGAAATTCCAATCTTTTGGTTCATTCATGGCGATCCATTGTTAATTGACAAGCACTATCAGGCAAAGGCCCTTTCTGACATGGTTATTGTTGTTCAATCAGAGACATCATCATGGGAGAGCCATCTGCAGTGTAATGGGAAATCAGTTTTATGGAATTTAAGGTTTGTTTTTCTGGACCAGATTTTGAGTTTCCAGAAAGAAGAGAGAACAATGATCAGTGATGGTTATTCCTTGCTATTTCTAATATAGTGTAATGGCAATTAATGCCAACTGAAGTGTTAGATCCTCTTTAAACTGCCTTGTCCTGAAGTGTATATATGTATGATTTTTTCTTTTTTTTTATTGAGAAAGAAGTTTTTTCCTCCTTTTTTTTTTTTCCCTGGGGTGGGGAGATCTATTGGTGAGGAGATTGAGGTACTCACAGATGCATTATTTTTTCTTTGTTTGCCAAATATCACTTTCATTTCTGAGCAATTTTAACAAAGAAGTAATTTATAAACTTATTCATTTACCCTTGGCAACTACCTGATTAGGAGTTACTGTGTCCAATCTGATTTACCTGTTCCTTTCCTCTCATTCAGGAGGCCAATAAAAGCTGCATTGGCTGCTGTTTCTGAACACCTGGCTGGTTTGCTTCCCCTTCATCTTGTCTACAGTGAAGCACATGAAACTGCAATTGAGGTATATTTTTTTCAGAAGTTCGAATTGGTTTATCTGGTTCATCATCTCTTTTTTCTAGTAACTTTACTAATCTGATTTATGGATCTGTGAGCTCCTTTTCTGAATTCTCTTGATATCTTGAGTTTCTAGTTCTAAAACCATGGATACATTAACATGAGAACTAGAATGACTTTTCAGGGAGAATTCAAAATTCCAAGTTTTTCATGAGGACACATGCTAATTAATGGTTCAGTTTTGATGCCATTCTGTTTTAACAATTCCTGAACCAATCATCGCATTGAATAGTTTTGCATTTTCATATGGAGTAAAAGCTTTTTGCTTGTATGTTAACAGGATTGGATATGGTCTGTGGGTTGCAGTCCTTTCTCTGTTACTTCTCAAGGTTGGCATTTGTCAAGGTTTCAGTTAGATACAATAGCTCGGAGCTATATCATCACAACTCTTGAGGAGTCAATAGAACTGGTTAATTCAGCTATTCATCTTCTAGTCACAGAGCGTACAAGTATCCTTAAAAATATAGTGGCACATAAATAACAAAGGAAATGCTAAATAAAAATGTGCATGCCAACATGACCCTCATAACACTAAACTCATTTTTATTGTAGGATGGGAAACTGCTTCATAATCTCCCAAATCATATCATCTGCTTAGAAGTGATCCATGTCATTATTGTGTCTATGGGTAGAGATTTTGCTTTCAGTAATTGTTTTAATAGGAGGCCAAAAAAAAAAAAAAAAGAAGTAATTGTTTTAATATTTTTGATATTCTGGATCTACAATGGCTTCTAGGCTTCTAGCTTCTGTAAGCCTGCATATGTTTTTATTATTGGGACAGTTGCCATTAATGAAGACTTAACTAAATCTAGCTGAAAAAACGTTCAAACTTTTTCAGTCCCAGGAGCATGAGCTAGTGAACAAGTATAATCATGTTGTGAGTTTGTGGAAAAGGGTGAGTTACTTATTCACATGTCTGTCTAATGTCCATTGGTCAGAACTGTACAAGTTACACTGTAAAATGTGTTGTCTTTGCAGATTTCAACTGTTACCGGAGAATTGCGTTATATGGATGCCATGAAGCTGCTGCATACCCTAGAGGATGCGTCCGAAGGGTTTGGCATTTCTGATCTTCTTATCTTATTTTTTTCCCCTCTAATATTTGTTTTAAGTTTCCTATTCATATTGTGAACTTTATTTTGCATGGATAAAGGCATCTTATGGCAGGAATATTTATATTTAGTTTTTCAATCTCTAACTCATCTGAGAAATTGTTTGCTATCTAAGTTGCTGAATCTAGTTAGATTCATTACCACTATTATTATTATTTAGTTTTCCAATCTCAAGCTCATTGAACAAATTGTTACTTGAGTCGATTATTTGAAGTGTTCCCATATATCTTCTCTTAGATTACTTTACACAGTTTAATGTGAAATATTTGGCACAATTATTTTCTATTCCATTCTGATCTTATTTCTTGCACAGGTTTGCCCACCAAGTTAATACAACAATTTCCCTGCTTCATCCCATTCATTGCACTAGAGAGAGAAAAGTAGACGTGGTGTTTGATGCAACGACAATTCCTGCTTTCTTGGTTGTTGGGGGCATTCTGTATGTGGTGCTAAAGCCAAGACGACCGAAGCCTAAAATTAATTAAGACTCATACTGTGATACAGAACCTGATATCGTAGAGGGGGAATGACAACAATTTTCTCCCCCGATAATAACTACTGTCTCATTGTATCTAATTGATAGTTTGTTAGGGCTAAAGGAAAGGAGGCACTAGAATTCAGTGGAAAACTGTACTACTTCTATTGTAGTTCAAAAATTTTTGTCATCTACTTGCTGCTATTTTCTTTTTCTTCGGCAGCATTTCTTGGTGGAATACATTCATCAATTTACACTTGAACTACCAAAATGATATAGGCATAATACAACCTTATAATTATGATCCTTTTAACTTAACATAAAGCTTTAATAGTAGGAGAAAAGAAGTAATCGAAGACGTTTTGTAAGTTTAGTTTGTTTTAACTTTATTAAATTTGTTGTGTAATTATTATTAAATATTTTAATATTTTTAATATTAACATGTTTTTTTATTTATAATTATGATATTATATTTATTTGTTTATTTCTTGAAAATAGTATTTATTCATCTTATTATTTAAAAATTAAAAAAATATTATTTTAAAATTATATCATTTTAATAAATATCTATTGAAAAAGATTAAAATATTATATTTTTAAAATATAAATTAAAATATTTATCTTTTTTTCTCTTATTTTTTTGAAAGTAAATAAACAAGCAGTAACCTCATATTTCTTAATGCTTATGTTTTATGATGACAAACTTGCACTCACACTCACCTATAATATTCTCACCAAATTATTTCGATTCCAACGTCTAAAACGAAGTGGACTAGAGCTTAAGTTTAGGCTTTTCAAACAGGCCATTCACTTTTGGACTTAGTTATCGAATTTAGGGCCCATCATCTATCACTAGATCTAGTCATCCGGGCCTTTTGGGTCTCTATCTATACTTCTTCAACCCAAACACAAGGCAAGAAAAGATGACATGGGAGCTGACTCCGCTGCCTTGTAGGACTAAGGGTCCCACATCCGCCACTGTGGGGGTGGCAATGACGGAACCCTTCCACCGAACATTCGGGAAGAGCCTCCCACCCGCCTCCTCTCAAAACTTATTGACCGAGTCAAAGAAAAGAACTCCCAAGTTCCATCGTAGAAACTTCCGGAGAAAGCGGAGGCTTGCATTGTTTCACGTTTTCTTCTTCCTCCTCAGATTCACCCCAATACCTGAATCTAAATTTGAAAGCCGAAGTACATTATCGATCTCAATCTTGATTTGGGCGATAGCGATACCATGGCGGAGAACGGCGATGCGGTGTCTTCCGAGGAGCAGCAGGGAGCATCCTACACGTATTGGGTGAGGGAAGCCACGCCGGATGCCGCCCCACTCCCCGTTCCAAAGAAGCTCGACTCTCAAGATGTCCTCTCTCAACAATCGAGTTCCAACAACCTGGGCTCCGTTTGGAATCGGGTATTGTTGTTTCTTTTCCCTTTCTCGAAGCTTCTGATCTCTGATTGATTCTCTTTTGAGCTATTTTCCTGATCTGGTTTCTATGATGCATTCTCATTCTAGCTTCATTCCATGAGATTAGCTTGAAACCGTAATTAATGCTTGAATTTCCTGCAAATATACACTTCAAACTGTTTTTCTTCATGGAAGTTGCATAGAAACTTGCGGTTGTTTGTGACTGTCTCAGCAAAATACGATTTTTGCATCTTATTGTGCAATATGGGTTTGGTTTCTTTTAACTGATACCCCTTTTTGTATTCTGTTGTGGAATGGTATAAGATCGAACATATTCTTGCTGTCAATATTCTCTGTTGTAACAATTGCTCAACGCTAAATCTTAAACAATTTGTACACAGAGCTTCAATTTAAGCTTTGAAGTAACCAATTTTTTATAGCATATATAAATGTCTGGTTGCTTCTGTCCCATGAAGATTGGAAACTATCTATCATGTTGGTTCTTCGAACATCTCCACTTCAACAGTTGAAAGTGAAAACTTGTGTGTTTCTGCTTTTGAATTTTGCTACTATACTTAATTTAAGGTCTTTTTTTGTTTGTTAATACTTGTATTTATTCTTTCCCTGGCCTCTGACTTCCTGGCTTGAATTCAACATAGGCTGGAACTTGGGAGGAGAAAAGCCTAAACACGTGGGCAAGTGACAGAATAAAGGTCTATGCTCCTACAGACCGGTATATATATATATATTTTTGTTATAATGACATCATAGTTTACTGAAAGGAGGATTGGTTTTTCAGGAATTGCTAAAATCAGTGGGCTCCTTGGAGTTCTCTGGTGGCAGAGCAGAAATAGCAGATGTAACAAAGTGTATTGGTGATGTGAGTTTTTAATACATTCTTTTTGAAATCTCATTTATATTCATGAGAAGAGCAACTGAGTTATCTGACACATTTGCTGCATTGTTTTTTATTGGTTTTGAGTGCTAATCATTCTTGCTGCTGATCTTACCATGCAAATAACTTTATAATCTTCTGCTGCACATTGGTTATTATTTTGGTTTAAACTCCTCAGATTCTTGAAGTTCATAGTGGTTTCATTGACTAATAAGCTAAAATACATATGTAGGTGTATATATTTCAGAACCAATGCCACCTATCTTGTTTTTAACGTTATTACTATATGCTTGTCAGCACTGTGGTACCTTTGATGCTATAGTTCATTTCATTATTACTGATGATTAGTTTCTTTCCAAGCAGGCTTTCTTAGTAACTGTCCGAAACAAGAAACGTGTAGGGTACACTTATGAGGTGACACTAAAAGTCAAAGGTGACTTGGATCTATACTTATATCCCTTTCTCTCTTCAGTCTGTTTGTCATGTTGATTGAGCTGGAATCTTAATGAAATCAGGGGAGTGGCTTGTTCAAGAGGAGAGAAAGATGGTCAAGGGCAATATAGACATCCCAGAGTTCTCTTTTGGTGAGCTGGATGACTTGCAGGTATAATATATAATTTCCATGTTATGTCATAGAGTTAGACTGCAGATATTGGTGTCTACATTTATTTCCTACTAGAGATGTCACATATGATAAGTTCAAGCATGCTACTACTGCAATATGGATATTGGGCTAATGATATGCAGACAACATTTTTTTATAACTTTTATTTACAACTTTTACATGTCACTAGATGAATGGATGCATACAATAATACGAGTCTCAATAGAGGAAAAAAAGCCAATCATTAAATGACATGTAAAGTTGTACAAAAAGTTGTTTCTCAATCATTCTCCATGGATATATAGGATGTCTATTAATGGGATATGATTAATTTGTTGGTGAATAATCATCACAAAGAAATAAGAGGCAATGAAATAGCCATAAATATAAAACACACATGTCCAGGTTTTTGCCATGGTCAATTTCTGCTTTGATGTGATAACAAAACCTTTACGTCTACTTTATATAGATGGAGGTGCGGCTTAATGAAGAGCAAGATCTTTTGCAACAAGTTAAGCTGCAGATCATCCAGGATATGAAGCAATTTTTGAAGCCTGTCCGTGAGAAGTTACTTCAATTTGAACAGGAACTTAAAGATAGGTAGCAGTCCTGATTCAAGAAAAGCAAATGCTGGGCTTTTATTAAAAAAGTTGTCAAGACTGTAACTTTATTATCTAATCTATCAATGTGGACTAATTTTTACAAGATATGTGATGGAACACAAGATGATTAAAAGGTGATGTGCTTTCAAGTAATGCTTAAATTATGCCAACAGATTATTTTCTTATGTTGTTTCCTCGGATTTGTTGCTAATTTCTAGCATTTAGTTAATCTGTGGAAGAAGGGGGTAACCTCATCTTCCTCTTATATTATACTATTGTTAATTGCTATACTACCATCTAAAGCGATGGATTTCGTTAAATATCATGGATGCATGTCATCACCCATTGTATAATACCATAATGAGTCAGTAAGACTTGTTCATAAGACTTCTTCGCTAAGTAGAGGGCTTAATTTGTCCATAGGTGTATATTTAAAGCACAAAGTTTTGGTGTATTTTGTTTTTATCTAACTTTTTGCCTCGACAAACTTTTTTCACTTTGTTTTATTAAAAATTCATCGTCTTTTTGCTATGGATTCTGCAAGGAGGGTCAGATACTATGTGATTCTTTGAAAAGAAAAGGGAAAATCATGTTTTTTGGTATGTAGAATATGAAGAATTTTTTGACAACGACTTAAATAATTTAGTGATCATCTTCTTTTCTTGAAAGTAAAAGAAGGGTTCGAGTAGCATGGTATACGGATGAGATGTGATAAAGGATGGTGAGATGAGATAAAAGATGAGAGATGAGATAAAAAATGAGAGATAGTTACCTTTCATTATACAATTAAGATAAAAAATATATATATGAAGAATTTTTATGAAATTACTTAAATAATTTTAATAAATCTTTTTCACGTATTAATTTATTAAAATATTTAAGTTCATTTATTATAGTTAAGGAGATTGAATTACTAAAAAGGTCTGATTTTTCGCCATCACTTCTTTGAATATTCTTTTCGAAGTTTATATTAACTTCATACTAATGGATGAATAATTCTTTGAATATACCTTGACTAACTATTGTCTTTAGATGCAATAGAAATTGTAATCCTTATCTTCATAATTATGATAATTAAAAATTATTAACTTGATTGTTTTTATGCAAGGGGAAGGTCTGGGAAA